CTAAAAAGAAAACAGAAAGAAAGAAAAGAAAGAAAGGAAAGAAAGAAAGAAAGAAAGAAAGAAAGAAAGAAAGAAAGAAAGGAAACGCGAAAAAAAAGAAATGACTCGAATACAGAAAGGCATGAACATCGAAAGAAAGAGAAAAGAAAGAAAGAAAAAAGTAAAAGAATGTAAAAAAAAAGAAAATAGAAAAAAAGAAAACGTTAAAAATATTCAAAAAAGAATTCAGAAAGACAGAAATTGTGAAACAAAGAACGGAAAGAAAAATATAAGACAAAAAAATAATAGGAAGAAAGATAAAATGATAAATAAATAAATCATTGAATTGTGAGTAAAGAAAGAAAAGAAAGAGAGAGAGAGAGGGAAGGAAGGAAGTAATGAAGGAAGGAAGGTATGAGAAGGGAGGGAGGGTGGAGAAAGGAAGGAAGGAAGGAAGGAATGGGGAGGGAGGTAGGGAAGAGGAAGGAAGGAAGGAAGGAAGGAAGGAATGGGGAAAGAGGTTAGGGTGGAGAAAGGAAAGAAGGAAGCAATGGGGAGGAAGGAAGGAAGGAAGTAAGGAAGGAAGGAAGGAAGGAAGGAAGGAAGGAAGGAAGGAAGGAAGGAAGGAAAGGGAAGGAAGGGAAGGAATAAAGGAAGGAAGGAAGGAAGGAAGGAAGGAATAAAGGATGGAAGGAAGGAAGGAAGGAAGGAAGGAAGGAAGGAAGGAAGGAAGGAAGGAAGGAAGGAAGGAAGGATGGAAAGCAAAAACAAGAAAATGATAGTAACAGAATGAAACTACAGCAGAACTGTAGGAAACTGTTGAAATGATAAAAAGTAAAAATGGAGAAATAAAATGAAAAAGAAAGAGAAAAACAAAAAATGAATAAAAAAAAAAGAAGAACGTACGAATATTAGAAATAAATGAAAGATAAAAATGCCATAAAGGCAGATACTGGGAAATACAAAGGAAAAGAAGAAAAATCGAGAAGAAAAAATGAAAGAGAAAAGAAAATTAAAGTAAAGTAAATGAAACGAGAAAAGGATAAAACTATTAGGGAAAAAAACAAGAAAGAATGACAAAAAATATAAGGATGAAGAAAAGAAGAAACAAATAAACAGGCAAACAAATGAACCAACAGGTAATTTTTCATTTACTTTCGGCCTTTATTCATTATCGTCTGCAAAACAATGGCAAATGTCGTTACTGGTTGTCACTAATGATATTTAACAAGCGTGCACATCTCCACCGTTTTTCTAATAAAATTTTCCATTTCATTGTTTTCGAGTCATAAATCTTTGTCATCGTCCAATCAGTAATTATGTGATCAACAATAGTCTCAAGGTGTTAGCTGCACTGCCCAAAATGCTCGTTAATTATAAAAGTAATTCTTCATTACGACACCAAAAATCGACCAATCAGTACAACGGGGACAAATATGCGAAATATATTTAAATGAAGTAAACTTTAAAAAATAAAGAAAAGAATCTGTAAAGAAACTGTGCAGAATTTGTAACATTTAAGTCAGATATTTTACTTTTATTCCTTAATGAGTATTAACAATTAGATCTAAGAGTATAGAATGCATAGTGTTGAGAAAAATGGCAGTATACAATGTTATAAGTTACAGATTAGGGCTGTCAAAATGAAACAAGTGAAGAAATTCAACTATTTTGTATAATGTAATAATATTTATAATCCCACATCAATTATTACTGAATTGTCTTAATGAAAGAAATAATATTTCTTGCAAAGATCTTCCTAAGCGACTACATATTAACTTTTGCTTCATATCCGAAACTTAAACAATTATTTGTCAACAGTCCGCCATTATGTATTATATAATATATTGTACACGTTATATTAATAATATATATTATTAACTTATATATCTATATCTACCTATCTATCTATCGATCTGTCTATCGATCTATCTCTCTATACATACATACATACATACATATGTAAATATATATATATATATGTGTGTGTGTGTGTGTGTATTTATTTATATATATATATGTATATATATTTAATATTATATAAGTTAAATTAAAATATAATATATATATATATATATATATATAAAGAGTCTTAAGGTGTGCTATATTTATGGGATAAATACAATATATAGATAAATACAAAGTCAACACTTAGAGGCGACAGTCTGTTTCATATATATATGCAATAGGCCACATATGCTGTTATTTTTCTCGGCTATTTATATATATACGGGTTAGTTGGTGCATTATGGGTATTCTATATGGCGGTTATTTTTACCGGGAATATATTTGTTTATTTAAAGATCAAAAATTATATATATTATATATATATATATATATATATATACGTCTGCGATAAATAATATATATTGTTGAGTATATATATATATATATATATATATATATATATATATATATATATATATATATATATATAATAAAAATCAAAATCAACATTTGATATTAAGCTCTTTTTTTTGGACGTCTGCCGAAATTTCCCATATGAGGTTATTTTGGCTTTTATTATTTAATAATCATTTGCTCTGTAATAATACATACATTGAGCTCTTTTTCTAGATCAGTTTTAATATTACTAGGATCCATTTTATATATATATATATATATATATATATATATATATATATATAACTTAGTTTAATAATAATGTACTGGGAAGTCCCATGAAAATTTCACGGTTTTCCTATTTGAATTTCCTGAATGAATCTTCATTTTTCAATTATTAATTGAATAGGCATATGACGTTCTATGAGAATAAAATATCCCTAATAATTCCCCTATCTCATCGTTAAATAAATGAGCTTAACAACCTTTTTTAAGCAAGTCGCTCCAAGCAAGGCGGGAGTGCCACTAGCACGCAAAGTTTTACATAGAGCGAGAGTAAATGGTTAAAAGGAGTATTTTGGAAAAGGATAAAAGGGATCATGGTCAAGTCATCAGAAGATGTCGATTGACATTACATTTGAATATTGGAACATTATAACTATCAGGAAAGCAAGTGATAGGAAAAAAGTTGACGGGAGGTGCGAGATAAGAAGCTGTTGGTGTAGAAGAGACGACAGTGAAAGGGTTGGACCGTGATGCCAACCTAGTACCCCGCTTAAGTTCATGCAGTTTGGGAACCAGTGAAAGTAGTTCGTCGGAGCAGTTGCCATGAAAATACTTGTAGAAAAGAGGGAAGCCACGGCACGTCTGTGAGATAGCGACCACAGACGGGATGCCAGATCAAGACGAACCAAGATGCATATCAGTCTCTAGATTTTGTCAAGCACCTCAAGATGAAGAGCGGGAGCACCAGATAACATATGGCAGCAGTATTTCATGCAAGGACCAATTGTTGATATGTAGAATTAACTTTAACAAAATATTGCAATAACAATCATAAATATGAATGATGATCGTTATTTTAAGAAGTGGGTACAAATGAAACGACACGACACGGCAATACAATATCTGGAGAAATTCCCTTATCACATGAGTAAATATTTGAGCTTTACAACTTTAAGAAAATGTTGCAATAACAATCATAAATATGAATGGTGGTCGTTATTTTAAGAAGTGGGTACAAATGAAACGACACAACACGGCAGTACAATATCTGGAGAAATGGCCTTTATCGCATCATTAAATATTTGAGCTTTACAACTTTAACAAAATATTGCAATAATAATCATAAATATGAATGTTTATCGTTATTTTAAGAAGTGGGTACAAATAAAACGACATGACACGGCAAGACAATATCTGGAGAAATTGCCCTTATCACATCATTAAATATGTGAGCATTGCAACTTTAACAAAATATTGCAATAATAATAATTCACTTAATCTGTTCCCGATTCTCTTGCAAGCTTTTTGGTCCCTTATCCAGTACAGTTTATGGACTACTTAAATAACTTTTCAATGTAAATGAAGGTTTTTTAGTAATTCAAGTAGATCACATTATTATGTTTTGTCAAACGCTTTGGCGGGATATATGAAACTACTATTTTTCTTATCAACTGTTCCAGCAAACATGCGATATAATTCTTGAAAATTAATCGAATCAAAATCGCATACAATGGCTGCCTAGAGGTTTATTTGCAATATTTTCGTTATTCTTTTTTTGATTTTCACGAACAAGATCTCGCCTGTTACAATCTCCGCTAATCTGTGAGTGTCTTTTGTATATTAGAATATTGAAACTTCGTCTGAGTAAGCAGATAATGCCATACCAGAATAGTCGGAGATATTAATCGCCATTAGACAATGCAAGATTACTAATAAGCTCCTCCCACCACTCCAAAGTAAAGCCAAAAGAACATTTTTCTGTTTTAAAAGGCTTAAATTTATCGAACAATTTACATTGGAATTATTCTTAAATTTTTTCTTCTGAAGAATCAATATTTTCTTCAACATTGTTTAATATGAATAAAGACAAGTATTTACATTATTCGGACTATTGTTCTCATCTTAGTCGTCATAAATATTACAACGTTTCGGCCGTTGTACGCTCCGGGCTTCTTCAGAGGGTTGGAATGTCGAACTGAACCCTTCATTTCGCTCACTAGGATAGACTGTTCTAGTTTGGAGAACTCGGTAGGTTTCGCTCTGGAAACGCAATCTGATACAGCCGGCCATATATAAAAATCATATCTGCCTGTTCACGATATGAATATCCTGCCATTGTTAAATCGAACTCTTCTCAGTTAACTCACTACTATACACGTTAAATGTTGAAGGCAGAGAATCAGAAAGGTACACGAATAACAAATGTAATCTAGCCTATATAGCCACACAGTGCCATCTACCGTAATTTCTTTAAGAAATTAACTGAAAAACGAAGGATTTGCGGACATGTAATTATATGGACATTTGTACTTGGTTTGATGTGAGAAACCTGCCCCACAAAGATTGTAAATATTTTTTTATATACACTATTTACATTATTCGGACTATTGTCGTCATCTTTATCGCCATATTTATTAAAAAATTTCGGCCGTTGTACGCTACGGCCTTCTTCAGAGGGTTGGAATGTCTAACTGAACCCTTTATTTCGCTCGCTGGGTAGACTGTTCTAGTTCCACGTTTAATGGATGTCAGTTATCAGTTATCCCCTGTTAATTCCCCTCTCCAAGTTCTCCACTGCCTTAACCGGACATTGAACTCTTTGGGTCCTGTCACTGGAACTAACCAACGCCTTTATCCACTGTGCCATGTGTCCTTGAGGAAATATAGAAGGATACTGAGTAATGACAAATTGAAAACTTTTCTTATCCGACGTGTTTCGTCCTCTGATACACTTTATCAAGGCAGATGTAAGGATTTTCTTTTGCAAACAAGTATTTATAAACAAAAGTAAAAATCTCAGAATGTTTAGCCTGATGAATATTTATGAGCGTTTCTTAAACTAAAACCTTTTTACATTTGTTTATAAATACATGTCGCAAATTAGAATCCTTATTTTTACCTTGATAAATTCCAGATATATATATTTTTCTCATACATGAAATTTTACACATGGTGTAATGTAAAAAATGTCTCAGAATTAACCTGTTGAAAAACAGAATCTGTATAAACCAAAAATGACAATAGGAAAAACTTTAGTTTTAGCCGACGAGTTTCGTCCAATGTGGACTTTTTCAAGGCAAATATTTCAATATATTCGAGAAACATGCAGAACAGTTTTTTTTTTAAAACAAAAACAAAAAACGTGCATCTATGAGCAGAAAAGAGACCTCAAAAATAAGAATTTAACAAATGTACTAATCATACATAGAAATAAATTCAACCACAAT